CTCTCTCTCTCTCTCTCTCTCTCTCTCTCTCTCTCTCTCTCTCTCTCTCTCTCTCTTACTTTTTTAAAGAGATGGAGTCTTGCTATGTTGCTCAGGCTGGGCTCAAACTCCTAGGCTGAAGCGATCCTCCCACCTCACCCACCTGAGCAGCTAAGAAGACAGGCATGTGCCACCACACCCAGCTTGGACATTTTAGTTTGTTCTGATTTGACGTACAAAACCCATCTTGGTGTAGGAATTCAGAATCATTCTAGGAGTTTCTATTAAAAATTAAAGGGAGCAAAAGAATTTTTTCATGGTTACTAGGTATGATGTTCCTTTGTTCCATTAACTTTATCTGGTGAAGTTAAACCCTGAAACCAGCCTAGAAAGTAGATTCGTTTCCCAGAAGCTTTTAAAAAGTAACTCTGGAGCAAAATGAAACTGAGTTGTGAGTTTAATGAAAATCAGGCAGAATGCCTGAAAAAAGTCCAAGTGAGCCTATTTCTTCCTCTTCCTTCTTGTTTTTCAAGGAAGGATACCTATCTGAGATAATTTGGAGGGCATTTTTTATAGACTAAGGTTTCTGTTCTCTTAACCTAGAGACACAGAGAAAGTTAAAGATGGAAGGTACAAGGAGCAGAGTTCAAACTTCATGACACATGTCTTAGTGATGGTTCCTCCCTCCTCATCCTCACTTTCTCTGAAATAGAGTCTGTATTTTATTGTGACTAATTTTATTAATGCCTGCTTAGTTTCATATTATCTTCTGAAACTTTATAGCAACAAGTGGAAATAGGGAGTAAAAAATCTCCTGTCATCATTTATTAAAAAGAAAAATAAAAGATGAAGAAGAAAAATGAAAACTTAGAGCAATGTGTAAATTGCAGCTAATAGTAGGCAAAGTTTGTTAGGCATGAAATGCCAGTTCTCTCAATCTTTCCTTTCAGTATTGATTCCTTCTTTACAAATTGTAGTTTAAAAAAAAAAATCAGTCATCACAAACAAGTTCTCTGTGATTTACAAGCAGCAGCTAGGCATGCTAAAGGATTTTTGTCTTGTACGGCAGGCATCTCTGTGGGCAGTGGGGGTGGTGGGGTGTGAGCAGTTGGTGGGGTTCCGGGCTCCTCTGGTGTTTCAAATGTGTGCCTTTCCCTATGCTTGTTTTTCCACCTGGTAAACTACCTAGGGATTAGCAGCTTCTTCAGTTCTCTTATGTGTTTTTGTTATTGATCCTATGAGAATTCTTCAAGTTCTTTACTGCCATTTTGAGATTTTTGTCCTTTTGTGTTTTTCAAGTACTTCCAGTTCTGTATTTTTGTGCATATTTAGCTAGAGCCATGCTGTTTGTTTTCCATGTCTGTTGAAACAAAACAAATCTTGTACGTGTGCTGTCAGCTTGTTTTCAGAAAGCAACCCTGAGGTTTTACACTTCTGTTTTTAAGACTCATGTTGTTCTACAGCATGCAGAGTAAACTTTGTTTTCTGGAGCTTTTTGGGTTTTTGTCAGCCAGATAAATGGAAGACTATTTTAGTCGTAATTTGAGGTATAACAGGATTATAATTATCTTAAAATTATTAGGCTAAAGAGTTGATTGTATTTACTTTAAAACTACTTTTTTATACTTTAAAACAATATTTGTCTTGTTTGGGAATATTCTGTTAACTGCTTTTCACTACATTAAATCTTTGGCCTCTTTTCAGTATGAACATTTTCCACAAAATAGCTCTAAATGCAATTTTCTTCCTGCTGAGCCTTTTCCATCATATAGCACACTTGTAGTATGATGTCTCAATCTGCATTTGTATGCCATGACCAAGTGGTGGTCTTTGAGATGTTCTGGTAAATAAGAAAGGAGGACCCTATGCATGTGTGATGGCAGTGGGGAGTGATAATTTGGAAAAGCTTCATCTATCTTTGTTCCTTTGTACTGCTTTTTTTTTTTTAACTGCATTTTAGGTTTTGGAGTACATGTGAAGAACGTGCAAGATTGTTGCATAGGTACACACATGGCAGTGTGATTTGCTGCCTTCCTCCCCTTCACCTGTATCTGGCATTTCTCCCCATGCTATCTCTCCCCACCTACCCACCCCCATCCCTCCGCCATTTCCCCCCAACAGACCCCAGTGTGTAGTGCTCCCCTCCCTGTGTCCATGTGTTCTCATTGTTCAACACCTATGAGTGAGAACATGCGGTGTTTGATTTTCTGCTCTTGTGTCAGTTTGCTGAGAATGATGGTTTCCAGGTTCATCCGTGTCCCTACAAAGGACACGAACTCATCATTTTTGATGGCTGCATAATATTCCATGGTGTATATGTACCACATTTTCCCTGTCCAGTCTATCATGGATGGGCATTTGGGTTGGTTCCAGGTCTTTCCTATTGTAAACAGTGCTGCAATGAACATTCGTGTGCATGTGTCCTTATAGTAGAACGATTTATAATCCTTTGGATATATACCCAGTAATGGGATTGCTGGGTCAAATGGAATTTCTATTTCTAGGTCCTTAAGGAATCGCCACACTGTCTTCCACAATGGTTGAACTAATTTACACTCTCACCAACAGTGTAAAAGTGTTACTATTTCTCCACATCCTCTCCAGCATCTGTTGTCTCCAGATTTTTTAATGATTGCCATTCTAACCGGTGTGAGATGGTATCTCAATGTAGTTTTGATTTGCATTGCTCTAATGACCAGTGATGATGAGCATTTTTTCATATGTTTGTTGGCCTCACATATGTCTTCTTTTTTTTTTTTTTTTTTGAGACGGAGTTTCGCTCTCGTTACCCAGGCTGGAGTGCAATGGCGCGATCTCGGCTCACCGCAACCTCCGTCTCCTGGGTTCAGGCAATTCTCCTGCCTCAGCCTCCTGAGTAGCTGGGATTACAGGCACGCGCCACCATGCCCAGCTAATTTTTTGTAGTTTTAGTAGAGACAGGGTTTCACCATGTTGACCAGGATGGTCTCGATCTCTTGACCTGGTGATCCACCCGCCTCGGCCTCCCAAAGTGCTGGGATTACAGGCTTGAGCCACCGCGCCCGGCCCATGTCTTCTTTTGTAAAGTGTCTGTTCATATCCTTCGCCCACTTTTGAATGGGCTTGTTTTTTTCTTGTAGAACTGTTTTAGTTCTTTGTAAATTCTGGATATCAGCCCTTTGTCAGATGGGTAAACTGCAAAAATTTTTTCCCATTCTGTTGCTTGCCGATTCACTCTAATGACTGTTTCTTTTGCCGTGCAGAAGCTGTGGAGTTTGATTAGGTCCCATTTGTCTATTTTGGCTTTTGTTGCCAATGCTTTTGGTGTTTTGGTCATGAAGTCCTTGCCTACGCCTATGTCCTGAATGGTTTTGCCTAGATTTTCTTCTAGGGTTTTTATGGTGTTAGGTCTTATGTTTAAGTCTTTAATCCATCTGGAGTTAATTTTAGTGTAAAGCGTCAGGAAGGGGTCCAGTTTCTGCTTTCTGCACATGGCTAGCCAGTTTTCCCAACACCATTTATTAAACAGGGAATCCTTTCCCCATTGCTTTTTTCAGGTTTGTCAAAGATTGGATGGTTGTAGATATTTTGTGTTGCCTCTGAGGCCTCTGTTCTGTTCCATTGGTCTATATCTCTGTTTTGGTACCAGTACCATGCTGTTTTGATTACTGTAGCCTTGTGGTATAGTTTGAAGTCGGTAGTGTGATGCCTCCTGCTTTGTTCTTTTTGCTTAGAATTGACTTGGCTATGCGGGCTCTCTTTTGGTTCCATATGAAGTTTAAGGTGGTTTTTTCCAGCTCTGTGAAGAAGGTCATTGGTAGCTTGATGGGAATAGCGTTGAATCTGTAAATTACTTTGGGCAGTATGGCCATTTTCATGACATTGATTCTTCCTAACCATGAGGATGGAATATTTCTCCATCTGTGTCCTCTCTTATTTCGTTGAGCAGTGGTTTGTAGTTCTCCTTGAAGAGGTCCTTTACGTTCCTTGTTAGTTGTATTCCTAGGTATTTTATTCTCTTTGTAGCAATTGTGAATGGCAGTTCGTTCTTGATTTGGCTCTCTTTAAGTCTGTTATTGATGTATAGGAATGCTTGTGATTTTTTCACGTTTATTTTGTATCCTGAGACTTTGCTGAAGTTGCTTATCAGTTTAAGGAGATTTTGGGCTGAGACAATGGGGTCTTCTAGATATACAATCATGTCGTCTGCAGATAGAGACAATTTGACTTCCTCCTTTCCTATTTGAATACCCTTTATTTCTTTTTCTTGCCTGATTGCTCTGGCTAGAACTTCTAGCACTATATTGAACAGGAGTGGTGAGAGAGGGCATCCTTGTCTAGTGCCAGATTTCAAAGGGAATGCTTCCAGTTTTTGCCCATTCAGTATGATATTGGCTGTTGGTTTGTCATAAATAGCTTTTATTATTTTGAGATACGTTCCATTGATACCTAGCTTATTGAGTGTTTTTAGCATAAAGGGCTGTTGAATTTTGTTAAAGGCCTTCTCTGCATCAATTGAGATAATCATGTGGTTTTTGTCTTTGGTTCTGTTTATGTGGTGAATTATGTTTATAGACTTGCATATGTTGAACCAGCCTTGCATCCCTGGGATGAAGCCTACTTGATCACGGTGGATAAGCTTTTTGATGTACTGTTGCAATTGGCTTGCCAGTATTTTATTGAAGATTTTTGCATCTATGTTCATCATGGATGTTGGCCTGAAGCTTTCTTTTCTTGTTGAGTCTCTGCTGGGTTTTGGTATCAGGACAATGTTTGTCTCATAAAATGATTTGGGAAGGATTCCCTCTTTTTGGATTATTTGGAATACTTTCAGAAGGAATGGTACCAGCTCCTCTTTGTATGTCTGGTAGAATTCGGCTGTGAACCCATCTGGACCTGGACTTTTTTTGGGTGGTAGGCTCTTAATTGCTGCCTCAACTTCAGACCTTGTTATTGGTCTTTTCAGGGTTTCAATTTCTTCCTGTTTTAGGCTTGGGAGGAGGCAAGTGTCCAGGAATTTATCCATTTCTTCCAGGTTTACTAGTTTATGTGCATAGAGTTGTTTGTAATAATCTCTGATGATGGTTTGAATTTCTGTGGAATCTGTGGTGATATCCCCTTTATCGTTTTTTATTGCATCAATTTGGTTATTCTCTCTTTTCTTTTTTATTAATCTGGCTAGTGGTCTATTTTGCTGATCTTTTCGAAAAACCAGCTCCTGGATTTATTGATTTTTTTTGAAGGGTTTTTTGTGTCTCTATCTCCTTCAGTTCTGCTCTGATCTTAGGTATTGTCTTCTGCTAGGTTTTGAGTTTTTTTTTATCTTGCTCCTCTAGCTCTTTCAATTTTGATGCTAGGGTTTCAATTTTAGATCTCTTCTTGCTTCTAATGTGGGCACTTATTGCTATATATTTTCCGCTAGAGGCTGCTTTAAATGTGTTTCAGAGATTCTGGTATGTTGTGTCTTTGTTCTCGTTGGTTTCAAAGAACATCTTTATTTCTGCCTTCATTTCATTGTTTATCCAGTCAACATTCAAGAGCCAGTTGTTCAGTTTCCATGAAGCTGTGTGGTTCTGAGTTAGTTTCTGCATTCTGAGTTCTAACTCGATTGCACTGTGGTCTGAGAGACTGTTTGTTGTGATTTCCGTTCTTTTGCATTTGCTGAGGAGTGATTTATTTCCAATTATGTGGTCAATTTTAGAGTAAGTGTGATGTGGTGCTGAGAAGAATGTATATTTTGTGGATTTGGGGTGGAGAGTTCTGTAAATGTCTATTAGGTTTGCTTGTTCCAGGTCTGAGTTCAGGTCCTGGATATCATTGTTAATTTTTTGTCTGGTTGATCTGTCTAATATTGACAATGGGGTGTTAAAGTCTCCCACTATTATTGTGTGGGAGTCTAAGTCTCTTTGTAAGTCATTAAGAACTTGCCTTATGTATCTCGGTGCTCCTGTATTTGGTGCATATATATTTAGGATCGTTAACTCTTCTTCTTGCATTGATCCTTTTATGTAATGCCCTTTTTTGTCTCTTTTGATTTTTGTTGCTTTAAAGTCTATTTTTCAGAGATGAGAATTGCAACTCCTGTTTTTTTTTGCCCTCCATTTGCTTGGTAAATCTTTCTCCATCCCTTTATTTTGAGCCTTTGTGTATCCTTGCATGTGAGATGGGTTTCCTGGATACAGCACACCGATGGGTTTTGGCTTTTTTTTTTTTTTTTGTTTTTTTTTTAGACGGAGTTTCACTCTCGTTACCCAGGCTGGAGTGCAATGGCGCGATCTCGGCTCACCACAACCTCCGCCTCCTGGGTTCAGGCAATTCTCCTGCCTCAGCCTCCTGAGTAGCTGGGATTACAGGCACGCGCCACCATGCCCAGCTAATGTTTTGTATTTTTAGTAGAGACAGGGTTTCACCATGTTGACCAGGATGGTCTCGATCTCTTGACCTCGTGATCCACCCGCCTCGGCCTCCCAAAGTGCTGGGATTACAGGCTTGAGCCACCGCGCCCGGCCCGGGTTTTGGCTTTTTATCTAATTTGCCAGTCTGTGTCTTTTGATTGGGGCATTTAATCCATTTACATTTAGGAATAATATTGTTATGTGTGAATTTGATACTGCCATTTTGATGCTAGCTTGCTGTTTTGTTCGTTAGTTGATGCAGATTCTTGATTGTGTTGATGCTCTTTATCACTTGGTATGTTTTTGTAGTGGCTGGTACTGGTTGTTCCTTTATATGTGTAGAGCCTCTTTCAGGAGCTCTTGTAAAGCAGGTCTGGTGGTGATGAAATCTCTGAGTACTTGCATGTTCACAAAGGATTTTATTTTTCCTTCACTTATGAAGCTTAGTTTGGCTGGATAGTAGATTCTGGGTTGAAAGTTCTTTTCTTTAAGGATGTTGAATATTGGCCCCCACTCTCTTCTGGCTGGTAGGGTTTCTGCTGAGAGATCCACTATGAGTCTGATGGGCTTCCCTTTGTGGGTAACCCGACCTTTCTCTCCGGCTGCCTTTAGCATTTTCTCCTTCATTTCAACCCTGGTGAATCTGACGATTATGTGCCTTGGGGTTGCTCTTCTTGACGAATATCTTTGTGGTGTTCTCTGTATTTCCTGGACTTGAATGTTTGCCTGCCTTGCTAGGTTGGGGAAGTTTTCCTGGATAATATCCTGAAGAGTATTTTCCAGCTTGGATTCATTCTCTTCGTCACATTCAGGTACACCTATCAAACGTAGATTAGGTCTTTTCATATAGTCCCACATTTCTTGGAGACTTTGTTCATTCCTTTTTACCCTTTTGTCTCTATTCTTGCCTTCTCGTTTTATTTCATTGAGTTGATCTTCAACCGCTGATATCCTTTCTTCTGCTTGGTCAATTCTGCTTGGTCAAAACTTGTGCACGCTTCACAAAGTTTCGTGTTGTTTTTTCAGCTCCATCAATTCACTTATATTCGTCTCTATGTTGTCCATTCTTGTTAGCATTTCGTCAAATCTTTTTTCAAGGTTCTTAGTTTCTTTGCATTGGGTTAGAACATGTTCTTTTAGCTCACTGTAGTTTCTTATTACCCACCTTCTGAAGTCTGATTCTGTCATTTCATCACACTCCTCCTCCATCCAGCCTTGTTCCCTTGCTGGTGAGGAGTTGTGATCCCTTTTAGGAGGAGAGGTGTTCTGGTTTCGGGTGTTTTCATCCTTTTTGCGCTGGTTTCTTCCCATCTTTGTGGGTTTATCCACCTGTTGTCTTTGTAGTTACTTTCAGATTGGGTGTCTGAGTGAACTTCCAGTTTGTGGATGCTGAAGTTACTTCTTTTTCTTAGCTTTCCTTTCAACAGTCTGGCCCCTCTGCTGTAGGACTGCTGAGGTCCACTCCAGGCCCTGCTTGCCGGGGGATCACCTGCAGCAGCTGCAGAACAGTAAGGGTTGCTACCAGTTTCCTCTTCTGCTATCTTTGTCCCAGAAGGATGCCTGCCAAATGTCAGTCTGTTCTCTCCTTTATGAGGTGACTCTTTGGATATATGGGGGTCAGGGAGCTGCTTAAAGAGACAGTCTGTCCTTTATTGGAGCTCAAGTGCTGAGCTGTGAGCTCCGTTGTTGATTGAGTTGCTGGGCAGGTACGTTTAGGTCTGCTGCAGCAGAACTCATAAACTCCCTTTTTTCTTTCTTTTTTCCCCAGGTGCTCTGTCCCAGGGAGTTAGGGCTTTATTTATGAGTTTCCGTTATGCTGCTGCCTTTTTTTTTTTTTTCTTTCAGGGCTGCTCTGCCCAGCGAGGAGGCAGCCTAGTCACTGTCTGCCTGCAGAGGCTTTGCTGAGCTGCTGTGGGCTCCGCCCAGCTGCCATGTGATCTTCCCTGCAGTCCTGTTCATATGGGTGTAGTTAGAACTGCCTTGGCAATGGTGGCCCACCTCTGTTATGGCGGACTCTCTCTGTAGTGGCAGGTTGCCTAGGCAGTGGAAGGTTGCCTCGGCAGTGGCGGGCTGCCTCAGCAATGGTCAGACTGCCTCCATAGTGGTGGAGTGTCTCAGTAATGGTGGACGCACCTCCCCCACAGAGCCGGACAGTCCCGGGTTCAGCTGTGCTTGCTGTGAAACTCTCAACCCAGACCGTTTTCAATTACGGTTTTTGTGTGTGGGGGAGTGTGTAGGGGGGGTGGGGAGGGAGGGTGGGGGCGTGGGGAGGGAGGGTGGGACCAGCCGAGCCTGATCACCTGGCTCCCCGAGTCTTTTTTGTTTTTTTTTGTTGTTGTTGAATGGTCGACTCTCTCCCAGTGTTCCAGTCGCCTGTTGAAAAGGCGCTGGGATCTCCTGAGCTGTGACTCACTGAGCCAGCTGAAACAGCGGTGCTGAGATTCCTCGTGGTTTTTTTGCCTAGGAATCTCCTGGCCTGGCTCGCTATTTCAGATGAATGGGCGACTCTGCCGTCTCAGGACTCCATTCACCAGCTAAGAGGGCACCTGGACCAGTGTCTTTTGTATGGAGAACCGCTGCACCAGGGCACAGGCAAAGCAGCCACATGGGCCGAAACAGCCGCGCTGGCGACCCGTGGGGCTCCTCTGCCTGTGAATCTCCTGGTCTATGGGCAATAAAAATCCATCTGGAAATGTGACATCCACTCACCCTCTGCACTTTCACTGGGAGCTGAAATCCTGAGCTGTTCCTAGTCGGCCATCTTCCCCGGATCAACTGTACTGTTTCCTTTAAAATGTGGAATGTTTTCCCACTTCCCCTGTTCGAATCCCACCAGCCAACAAACCCTTCTTCAGCTACAACTAGAGCATTCCTCTGCAGTCTCTTCTTTGTTACTTTCTTATATAGTGACTACAGCTGACCTATTCTTGGCTATTGTATGTGGAGTGATCCTGTCCTAACTAGATGAAAGGTTACTAAAAGGCTAGGTAATAGGCCTTTTATGTCACCATATTCACCAAAGGAGTTAACATGATGCTGGCCCCAAAGATGGTTCACAATATTTTTTTAAATCCAACTGGTTAGAAAAAAAAAGGAAAGCATTCCTTGTCCCTTGCACTGGCAGAATTCAACTTGATATAGCAGATTTTTGCATACTGGGCAGAGCTCATAGAGTATTTTAACTCATTTGGGCAGAAGTTATGATGAGGAGTTGTAAACTTCCATGGTTTCCTTGGAAATAAGTAGATTAGCTTATTCCTAAACTCTTCGCCCCTCTCTCCATTTTCTCCCAAACACTGTTTTCAAGTACCCTTGCTGAGGACCACCTACATGTTCTCTGTGGCCACCCAGGCCCTGCACAGCTGTTTTGCTGCAGCAGATTTCACTATCTGAATCACTGTTCCTGATCCTTGGCTTGTTGCAGACCTGTGGAACACCCCCAGGGGCCTCCTGTTCTGAGAGTGAATGTGGCGGGCCAAACTGCAGAACTGACGAAGGAGAGAAGAAGTGTGGGGGGCCTGGCTGTGGTGGTCTGGTCACTGTTGCACACAACGCCTGGCAGAAAGCCATGGACTTGGACCAAGATGTCTTGAGTGCCCTGGCTGAAGTGGAACAACTCTCCAAGATGGTAATTCAGTCGATGGCCTCAGTTTGTGTTACGTTTGTCTGTTTGCTTTCACCTGTGAGGATCTGAAGGGGAGAAATCAATTCTAAATGTTAACTGAAATGAAAAGGGCTTACCAGAATGAAATAGGAAGATTCTTGTTTCGGTGAGTTCAGAAAGATAGGGAGAGATTTTCTTCACAAAGAATCTGCTTTCTCCTCACCAGAGGAGAATAACACATGCTTTAGAGCAAGAAGTTCAAATCTTACACTGGAGGATAATAATGAGATAACCATGTTACTTATCTGACTCGGGGGTTATAAATACATCTAGCTGTACTACAAAAATTCTGTATTAAGCAACTGAGCATTTGTTCTTCAAAAGTGACACACACTTTTTATGTGGACACCAGAGAAAAAGACTGCAGACTATATTATAGGCCAGGAGTTAAAAACATTGTAATACTAGTTCTAGTTACATAAGAATACTGTACAGGAATCTCTATACTGAATACTTTGTGAGAATAAAATACTTTATTGAATGGGAGAAAGTTATTTCCCAGACACATGATTTCAAGTACATAGTTGTTCAACATCATTTTTTGGGCCATTTCCAATATTCTGGTCTTCTTTAGAAAGAGTGGAAGTCTTCCATGGGTAATTTATTCTTCATATTCAGGTCTCTGAAGCAAAACTCAGGGCAGATGAGGCAAAACAGAGTGCTGAAGACATTCTGTTGAAGACAAATGCAACCAAAGAAAAAATGGACAAGAGCAATGAGGATCTGAGAAATCTAATCAAGCAAATCAGAAACTTTTTGACCCGTAAGAAGTTTTTTCATTTTACTTTCAGACATTTCCTTCTATGTGATTCTTTGTGTACATTTTAGATAAAATGTATAGTTTTAGTCAGGGTAGTAAGTGACATTTCCAAATAAGAAAAACATCTGGCCAGGCGCGGGGGCTCACGCCTGTAATCCCAGCACTTTGGGAGGCCAAGGCAGGTGGATCACAAGGTTAGAAGTTAAAGACCAGCCTGGTCAAGATGGTGAAACCCTGTCTCAACTAAAAATACAAAAATTAGCTGGGTGTGGTGGCAGGTGCCTATAATCCGAGTTACTTGGGAGACTGAGGCAGGAGAATTGCTTGAACCTGGGAGAAGGAGGTAGCAGTGAGCCGAGATTGCAGCACTGCACTCCACCCTGGGTGACAGGGCAAAATCAGTTACAACCAAAAAAAAAAAAAAAAAAAAAAAAACCCATATATTAAGAAATGTTTTGATGTCATAAACTTACATATGTGTATCAAATAACCTTTTCCATTGTTATGCAGATACAGACACACCTGATGGGATACTCAGCCAATCAAAAGTCAAATACTTAGTGAAAACTGAATTTGGAATTTGTTAGAGATTACATACAGTGTCATTAGAACTTTAAAGAAGTGGAGTCTGTTATTTTGGCATTGCCCCAAAAGCTTTGTGATGCTATTATTTACAGGATATTATAGCTTTAGTTAGTTAAGTCTTGGTAGTCACAGTTAAAGTGTTACCAGTAAAGATGGTTTTGGCTGGAAATTACAGAAAACTCTCTAGTGAAATGGATTTAATCAAAAAGGATGTTTATTATCTCACATCTTACTAAGACATCCAGTAGCGGGATAGCTTCTTGTGTCTGCAACCCATATACTTTTCATCTTTCTACTGTACCATCATGGGCATATCAGCTTCATTCTCAAGCTAGCTCCTTATGGTTCCAAGGTAGCTGCCAAAGTTCCAGACTTCACATAGAGACAAATAATAATAATGGAAGAAGAGACCACGTATTCTTGTAGCTTTTTAAAAAGGAGGAAGTCTTACTTCCCTAGAAGTGTTTAAGCAGTCATCCTCAAATCTCACTGGCCAGAAAAAAGTCACAGGCTAATGCATAAATGTCACTGGAAAATGGAGATGTGATTACAGTAATTGGCAAACCAATAAAGATTTAATGCTGGGTTGGTAATTTTACCTAAGAGGCAGGTACCTAAAAAAAAAAAAAAAAAAAAGTATTCTGTTAACAAGAAAAGAGTCATGGCTAATAAGGAGTGAACACTATTTGCTAAGGATACCTTAGGTAATATTCCATGGAAGCCATCATTCAAATATATATTTTATTTGAATAAATCCTCTGGGGTCTATTTTTATGTTCAACAGTTTAAAACATACACAAGCAAAGCTTGAAAGTAAATGATGTGACATATTCGAATTTTAACTTGATAAACTTTTTTTTCACCACCTTCTACACTTTACATTGGAACTCCTTAACTTCACTTCCAACCCATTATCATGGTTCTCCTGCTTCTGTAATTTTCTCCCTTTTATAATTTCCTGAATCTAATTTGTAAGAAATATTAGATCTCTTGCTTAAAAATATATATATATATCAGATCTCTATATTTGCATTTACAAGTTTCCAAACTATTAGTCCAACCTCAAAAGATTTCATTGCCTTTAAGTCCCACCTTTAAACCCTGGCCCCCCTCTGTGGTTTTCCACAATCTTCAGATTCACTCTGCTGGACTTTCCTGCAACATGTCTGCCCTTCCTGTCTCCGCTCCCCCACCCCCCGCCCCCAGAACTGTCCTTTCTTCTTTCATATTCTATTATCCCTATGTGATCAGCTCCTCTTCTTCCACGAAGTTTTCCCTCACTAGCCTAAAACCAATTCTAGTATTCAGTTGTCTGCAGTGACTTTTTTGTGTGTGTAGGTCTCATCTCTCCCTGAACCCCAAGACATTATAAACTCTTAAGCAGGAAGTCAGTGTCCCTTGGTGTATAACCCCACCGTGCTAGTCCATAGTAGATGACCATTAAATGGTTGAATGAATGAACCATCTATTCTTTTCACCTCTTTTTGGGTACATCTTTGCTTTTCACAGAGGACAGTGCTGATTTGGACAGCATTGAAGCAGTTGCTAATGAAGTACTGAAAATGGAAATGCCTAGCACCCCACAGCAGTTACAGAACTTGACAGAAGATATACGTGAACGAGTTGAAAGCCTTTCTCAAGTAGAGGTTATTCTACAGCAGAGTGCTGCTGACATTGCCAGAGCTGAGATGTTGTTAGAAGAAGCTAAAAGAGCAAGGTATCTAAAGCCATGGCATCTAAGGGGCTTATTTTGTGTATCTAGCATGGAGTAAAAAGTAATTATTTAACCAATGAAACTTCTAAGGAAGACCTATGTGAGTCTCTCTGGGTCATTTCAGGAAGGCTCGTCTTTAAAGAAAAGTGTTCTTTTCTGAGAATACTTTTTTCATGTCTAACAATGTATTATTATTTTACTCAGCAAAAGTGCAACGGATGTTAAAGTCACTGCAGATATGGTAAAGGAAGCTCTGGAAGAAGCAGAAAAGGCCCAGGTTGCAGCAGAGAAGGCAATTAAACAAGCAGATGAAGACATTCAAGGAACCCAGAACCTGCTAACTTCGGTAAGCATACACAGTCATTACAAACATATTACAATCATCATACGTATGGGAAATACCTATATATACACCTTTATCAGAAAAGTGCATTTGTTATCTATGAACAAAAATTCTTACAACTCAACATTAGAGGATTCCTTTAATTTTAATAAATCTAAACTCCCTTTGCATGGATGCTAAAAGTAAGTAGAGATAAAAAGACTCTGAAGACACTGGGCCATTATATCTCATCTCATTTTCTCCTCCACAAAGTCTGAGAAAGAATAAAAACTCCTGTTCTTGGGCAGGCACAATGGCTCACACCTATAATCTCAGCATTTTGGGAAGCTGAGGTGGATCATTTGAGGTCACTAGTTCAAGACCAACCTGGCCACATAGCAAGACCCCTTCTCTACTAAAAATACAAAAATTAGCTGAGCATGGTGGTGCATGCCTGTACTCCCAGCTACTTGGGAGGCTGAGGCAGGAGAACTGTTTGAACCCAGGAGGTAGAGGCTGTAGTGAGCTGAGATCATACCACTGCACTCCAGCCTGGGCAACAGACTCAAAAAAATATAAACATTCCTATTCATTAAGGAAACAGCATGTACTCTGTTCAGTAGTATGAAGTATAATCATAATTTCAAATTCCAGTTTTAGAAAACTGTCTTGATGTTATAAAGCAGCCCTAAAGCAACTTACATGGTTAAGTCTCAAGATTTTGGTGGTTTTGAAAACTACTGGAGAACAGTAACATGCCTCCAATACCCAATTCTAGAGGAACCTAATAGACAGCTCATAGCTAAACAATCTGTTCTGTTTAGATTGCATGGAAAACTTAATGATTTTTATGATGAACTTACTGCAACTACCAGATATTAAAAGTACTCACTAAGAAAATAAATTTTCATAGGAATCTAGTGCTTTGCTCTAAAAATCCTGTTTCCGTCTTAAAAGAAGTAATGTAAACGTAATTCTGTTTCATTCTTTAGTTTCTCAAGGAGATTTTCTTTCCAATTTTATGAGTTTTTGTCAGCCTTCTCAGGCCAATCTCCATGTCTTTAAAACCTGGGAAGATGAATTTTCAACATGCTTTTCTTACCATTAGTTGGTAAAAACCTGTCTTTCCCTATTCTATTGCTGTCAGTTACATGAAGGCCAATAATTTTTCAGCCAGTTTTCCTCCTTAAATTTCAAGCATCTATAAGGCTTTTTCTTTAGGCTATGTGTTAAAGCTTAGAAAAATTATGTTTTTCCCACTAGACTATAAATATTTTGATGTTTCGATCTCTAGGTTTTTCTGTTTACTCAGTGTGCTGTTAATATTTTAGTGAAAATGTCAGTGACTGTACAAATTATTATTTTGAAAGCTAGGTGCAG